TATTTTTCTCGGATCTAAAAAAAAGTAAATGTTTTGCGTTAAATTATTAAAGTAGAAATATTAAATTTTTTTCTTGTTGTTAAATTAATCAATACAGTTAAGGCGTAACCTGCAGGATGACCTCGTGTAAAATTTGGTAGGTACTGGCGGAATCCATAGGTTGTCTTCGAAATATAAGTGCACTATAGCTGTGGCGGGTTCGACGGGTCTACCGCGGCGACGGATCCGATTTGTCGGTGTGCGGGACCGCCGTCGGACCTAAATATTATAATAATTAAAAGCCGATAAATCGCGGTCGGCCGACTCGATCTTTGCCGTCGCACGACGACCGCGATCGATAACGAAAAGAAACGCATTATTCATATTATATTATACATTGTAATATGGTACCCATATAATATTGTCCGCCGCTCTATGTTATTGCACACACATTTTACCTGTACGACGGTGTGCGCGAACGCTCGAGATATGTAGAGAGATAATAATTTGTATAAGAAAATACATTATTATTATTATTATTATTACCGTTGTAATTTACGTGTGCGGCGGCAAACATGAAAAGATATTATTATTACGAAAAAAAAATGTATATATATATATATATGCGTATAGAAAATAATAAAAAGAGACCGCGATGAGAGAGGGAGAGTGAGGAATTCAATACGGCCGTTTAATTCCGATTTGTTGTAATACAGTATTAATGACCTATCGATAGGTCGTTTGCCCTGTAATTTTCGTACCGACACGATAATGCCGCTCGGCGTGCGCGTGCATAGACGTGTTGCTATATTACGTACAGGTATAGTTTGGTATATACCTATAGGTTATAAATTACGGTCGCGCGGACTCTCGAGCGGCTTCGTGCCACGAGCGACGTCTATCATCGTTGTCATAGGCGTTACTAGTGGTTGTCGAGGGGGTGGGGTGGCCGAAGCCCACTCACATTTTTTTGGGAAAAAGTTGTACAAGTCGTATTATTATTGTTATTGTAAACTTTATATTTTTTGCCATACGATGAAATGAAAAAAAAAACAATTCCCATTGTGTTATAATGTATATCTGATCTAAGATAGGTACCTAAACTAACACGAAAAATATCAAGTCAGTATACAGAGTGATGATTCAGTGTCATCAATATTTAAATATATATTTGGTAAATGCAATAGGTATAATGTGATATTTATAGTAGAAAACTTAAATTATAAAATATCATAGATAATAAAATTAATGTTATCCCATGGCTATATCAACACTATAAAATTATGGTCACGGTTTTTTTTTTTTTTGGCCAAGGAGCGAGAAATAATATCATACTAAGTATATATTATTATCGATGGTCTTCAACCTTGGGAGGTTTCTCTTCCTAGCATAGGTTATATTTTTGGGGAGATGCTGTTTAGACTATATTATGTTGCTGCAAAGTGTACGAACCTGTTCGGACCAATTTGTAAATGATTTAAACATTTTAAACAGAATTTCCCTTATTTTTTTCCACATGATTGAGAGCTAGGACTGAACAGCAGTGTTGGCGTGGTGAAAATGGTGTTTTTAAAAATAATTTCTGATACATTGTAATGTTAAATGTATATATTATATTGTTTTGATAGAAATTTAGGAACTGGTTCATAATGTCATAAAACCATTTTTATATTTCTTTTTATTAAATAGTGTAACATATAAAACTAATTAATCCATACCTACCTTAATCATTCTGACTTCTGAGATATAATTAGTGTCATGACAGATTTTGGTTAACAAAATTAAAATTCGTCAAAACAAAGTCCTCATCCTTAATACATAAATGGATACAAGAGCATGTGTTTGGTAATGAGATCCATTGCGGCATCATTATTGTAAATAAAAAAAAACACAAAATAATCGCGAAAAAAGTAGTTTCTTTTTTAATTCTGTTACGAACAAAAAAAAATTCAAGAATATAACAGTGTATTTCGTTCAAATGTCTTAGTTATATTTTAAAAACATACGCATCATCCTGCTGCAAACATACTGAGTGGTGTCGAGAACATATTTTATATTTCAGTTTCGTATTTCAGTATTCTAACCATCTTCAGTCTTATTTTTAGACCGACAAATAAGATGAGTTTTATTTTCAGCGTAGGTACAAATAGAAACGTATTGTGCGGCACGTTGTCAAAGGGACATGATAATATATTTTCCTCAACGACATTTTCACTCCGCCGATGAAGAATCGTCGACGATTTAGACAACAATAATTCAATAAAACGTAATCCACACTTCAGGAGAAACATTTTAATTGGCGTCAAACGTATATTATATACAATGTATATTGTATAGCTCCCCCACAATATTCTATTATTGTACACACATCATTTAGGAAACAGTTTCGATTGTACTTACGCGTATAATTTGTGTTATTCGTAGGTATGTAATATTGTATTAAATCATACTAGACGATGGATATGTGTTACGTAATTTATTGACTTTTTCGTATTTTTAACGTTTTCTGCAAAACAGCACAGAAAACGTGCATCATATTTTCTCTGTCGCTCAATACCCGTCCAAGATACAATAATATTCGTATGGCAATAATTTATCATAATGACAAATAACGTTGTAAAATCCGAAATCGTCATCGCCTCTCGTTCGCGCGCGGCCTTCGCAATCAAAATTCTCGTATTGGGGAGAGTCAAATTTTAACGACGACCGATATCATTTTGTTTATAATACATTTAAATAATAATATACGGTGTGATAATATAATATGTATTATTATTAAATATTATTATGCACAATATAATAAACGCGCGAGGACCGCCGGCTGCAGCAGAGACGATGGCCGTTGAGTGGGCGAGTGGGTGGGGAGAGGGGCGGTAAAAAGCGGTTTGATGACCGTCGTACGTGACGACCCTGAGACGTGCCACACACACACACTTACCATTATATATATATTGATATATATTATTATGTACCTACACACACACAAACGAGCATTAGCGCGGTATGTGTAATACGGTTACCGGAAGTGCGAAGCCTCCCCCGCCGCGCTCGACCGGCCCGTCGAAATGCCACACCCACAGCTACGGCTCTCACGTCGTCGTCGTCGTCCGTCTACGTCGCATATATAATTAGGCCACCCTGAGCGCAGCACCGACACCTCGTCGGAAACGCTCATACGTCACCCGAGTGCGGTAACCGCGGTATATATATATGTATATTAATGTTATATAGGTACATACAATAATATGTATATACATGCGTATACATGCGGTTATGGGCGGCCATTATTTTTTAACCGCTCCTCGTCTATAATGTGGTCTCGTCGGTCGTAGTTGGGGGGGGGGGGGTGGTCGAGCCACTTATCAAAGTCTCGTTCAGGTCGGTATTTTTTTTTTCGCGCCGTGATAAATACACACCGCGGGTATCTACCTATATATACACACACGATAATATATAATATTATTATTATAATAACAATGCGTATGTATATGACGGCCGTTTGTTCGAGACCTCACCGAAACAAATCGATATCCATTACCCGTCGCATCTTCCCCGTGGTGACAACTACAAATAAGCGGGACAGGTAGTCGTCGGGCGAGCATAATATATGTATACGTATTACATAATATTGTTAGGTGAGTGGTAAATACCAGGTACATATTATAGGTACACCCGTTGCTAGACATCCGTTGCCGGGGCATCCCGTGCTGTATAATATATTATGATAATATGTGGTATACTGGTATTTACCCATAGTGCGCGGCCCACACGTCCGAAGTCTTTGACACAAGACGTCCCGGCTACAACGACAACAGTGTCGACGATAATAATAATAAAATAAATATTTATATATTATGCGGTTATCTTGCTCATGTTCGTCGGCCTGCTACCGCTGTTACAAAATGTTTAAGCTACATAACTGGTATCTGGTATTTTTCACTTTTGTCGGAATACCGTGATTTGGTGAACACTGTAGTTACCGAAAATACCACGTTTCAATGAGCCAAAATGACTTCTGGAACCATATATACTTGAATTCTTGAAAAAAAAACGAATAATCTATGCAAATTGCAAAGTTTATTACAATGTGATTATTATAGTAAGAATCGAGCCATAGAAACATATAGGTTATATAAGGCAAAAGGAGGGAGGTATATCTTTTGAGCCTTGATTTAATATTATAATCCATTTCAAAAATATTTTAGAAATACAATTAATATGAGTGAATGATAAAATAATATAATACAGTATTTCGGTTTACTTATATAACATTATGATAACATATATCATTGATTTTGTTTATTGTTATTTGTCAATCTTTGATTTTTTAAGCCATTGCTGCTTTTATGAGGTCTGAACTCAATTTTTATCCAAATTTGAAACGCTATTCACACTGCACCTTATGTATACTTAATAGTTATAATAAAATGATTGAAAGGGTTTTTGGAAGTAGGACGAAAAAATAAGAAAGGGCCATCGGCTATGGGGGCATATCTATAGGCGTCATCTCCCACTGGAACATATCACCATTGATTATAAATACTATATCTATTTATAATCAATGGTATTACATAATTTATATCTACTAGACAAGCAGTATTCATTTAAGTAGATGTAACTTTGAAAAAAAAAACTACCTATCACTTGTAGATATTTCAAAGTTTGTCAAGTGATAATGTTTACACAATCACTGGTTGGCTACACATTAGTTATTATGATCACGGTATGAATGTATGATCTCGCGTAAATCGTTTGTAGTGAATAAATTATGTACTAAATATTAATAGATGTTAAATGATATGATAGATGGTTTATATTATAATAATGGATATCGATGACGTATCGATACGAAAGAATGTGGCAAATTTTTTCCATTTTAATGATTCAAAATATATTATTGTCTGCTGCAACGTAAATGCTATCCAGTAGCAATCTAATATATTATTGTAACACATGAGTTCTGTAAATGCCAAACTTCTAATATTATAATATTTTAATGTTTTATGTTTATTGTTTTACAGATAACCAAATTGAAAATCGACAGCAATCCTTTTGCCAAAGGTTTCCGGGATTCGTCGAGGCTGACCGAATTTGAAAGGTAAATTGAACTTAAAGGCTACTAAATCACCAATACATTAGATCTGACTGAACAGAATTCATTGTGGGCAACTGTGAGACCGTGAAAACGATATAAGAATCGCTAATAAAATTTAGGAATGAAATTTTTTTCGTATGAAAGAGGACCTTGTAACATTCGTAATTTTCACCTTGTAAGCCCGTAAACGTCGTGAATCAAAAGAAAATTAATAATGTGGCAGGTCCATTAAAATATAATATAATATCCAACGAAATCTACCTCCCATTCTCACAGCTTCGCAACCAACCAATTTAGTCGACAAATCTCGATTGACTCACTTCAAAGCACTCACATAATATTATTAAAATATAATGTATCTATCATCGAACAAAATTTCTTTTTCACATAACACTACTAAAAATTTGGTCGCCAACAGTCTAACTTGTACTCACACGCACTGCCGAACATTTTACACACAAGGACAAATATTGAAGCTACCCACCCCCACCCACACATTAAATTAAAACCCGCTGATGTATAATTTTTTTTTAAATATAAAATAAATATTCAGCTGCCTAAGATTGTTTGGGGCAGTTGCCTGAAGAAATATATAAGTTCGAGACGGCACTGCTCATAACTGTGTAATGGTACATACTGTATTAGCATTTATTTTTCACCCGCTATACAAATAAATAATTAGAGGGATATAATATATTATAGAGTTTTAAACACCCTTAACCCACAACCCACACCAAACCGCGATTCTTCCCGACTTACACCTCGGAACACCCGTTGACTGTTGCAGGGAAACGATGGAGTCGATGTTGAGCGAGCACCACATGCTCAGAACACCATTGTTGGACCCGGGCGGCGGTCTCAGCCAGCTGACGGCCGAAGAACGGGCTGTGCTGGCAGCCAGGTCTCAGCTGTTCCTGCGAGCGGCAGCGGCCGCGGCCGCCGTGAGTGGCCCTTACGGTCCGCTGTGCGGCATATACAACGCGGCCGCTGCGGCCGGCGGCCAACACCTGTGGAACCAGTGGGCATCGATGCAGAGCCCGGCTGGCCTTTACCAGCAGTTGGCCGCGGCCGGGGGCGGAGGTCCCACGGCCATGGCGGCCGCCGCCGCTGCAGCTGCCGCAGCTCAGCAACAGCACCACCACCATCAACAGCAGCAACAACAACAGCACCATCACCAACAACAACAACAACAACACCACCAGAATTTGTACCAACAACACCAGGCGGCGGCGGCTGCAGCGAACGGATTCAGATTTTCGCCGTACTTGGTGACGCCGCCGCAAATGTCAGTGGTAGCGGCCGCGGCCAGATCACCGTCGCCGTCCTCGCCCGACACGGCCTGTTCGTCGGACCGTTCACCTCACGGCGGCGGCCACCGGACGACGCCACATTAACAACCGGAAGCATCTATTTATATAATATTATAGACCGGAAACGATTCGTGTATTATATTTGTATTTACCTTCATGACGATTATGTATCTGTAAAATGGTAAACTGTAAAAAAAAGTCCGGAGAAAAAAGTCCGATAAAAAAATTACTTTAACCACTTTGATGTTTATATTTTTATTATAAGTTTTTTTCGAATTATATTCATTCAATGTTCTTTTTTTTGGACTTTTTCTCCCGGGAATTTGTTACCTTTTATCCTGTAAAATGTCGGACCTTATAGAATCGGGCCTGCAATGTGTAATATAAAACAATATCAAAACATTCAATATTGTGTGTACAGCGTTTCCCGTGTAATTCGGTTTTTGCGACTGCGCTCGATCGCCTTCCCGGATTTCCGGTTTCCCATAGCCGAAACTCGCTGGAGACGGGTCGAGTGGAGTCGTTAACTACAGTCAATCGATCACCGATGGCACGACAGATGGCGTTTCACCGATGTAAGTACATCGGTACTTGGGTATGGCGAGATTATGCGATTCCGGTGCTGATGACGGAAAACGTTTCAAGTTTCTTTTTTTCTTTTTAATTTCATTTTTAACGTTATTATTATTATTACTACTATTATATATATATTATATACAACACCTCGTCGATGGATGATTTCCCGCATGTGTCAGACTCGATGTGTCGTTGCGTATTATTCGTTTTATTATAAATATTATTATTATTATTACATTTCGAATGTTCGCCGCCGCCGGTCTTTTAAACACATACACATACCGTGATGTCGTGCTTGAGATAATATTATTATTATTATTATTATTATTGTCGTACGTCGCATAACGTTCAACAATTTTACCTACCTATATTATACATTATTATTGAATATTATTATTATTATTATTATGTTATTATCATCATTATAATTATTATTATGTTTTACTCGCACCAGCGTTTCGCGTTTCCACCGCCAGAATATTAAAATATATTATGTGCTTGTGTCTGTCTATACCTATTATTATGTAAGTACGTCATATTATAATATAACACATAACTAAAATAATATTATCTGTATAATAAATTCGTAAAATATATTTTATGTAATATGTTTACAAATAAAGCGACGCAATTGTATTAATGATTAAACGATGTATTGTGCACTTGCACACTTTATATTATTATTATGATAAAAAAAATATTATAACGTTAATTAATATTATTATAATTTTTCGTACCTACCTATAGACGGCATATGTCGGTAATTTTTCCAGGAGCGGCAATCCCAGACCCTCAAACGAACCTACTGATTTCCCTACTTCCCAAGTGAGAAAATATTTTCCTTTGTTTCTACTGTTTCTAAAGACGGCGTTTTTGAACGGTAAAAGTATGGATGAAAAACTTAAAACAAATAATAATATTTTTCAAATGCATTACTGTTAAAACCATATGTTGATCCTTGTCTGTGGTGAATATTAAAAGACAATTAAATATTTATTCGATTCGATTCGATCACAACATCGTATATTGCAAACAATGATGTCAAATAAAACAATTTAATACAATTTATTCGACAAACTGTTTTAATTAAAGATAATGAAAAAATAAAATAAGTTGGTAGGTATCAACTTATTTCAAACTAAAGTAGCAAGTCAGTATTTTTCTCCACATTATTTTTATACATCAAACTTTTACAGTCGAATATAATATTATTATTTCCTAACTGATAACTTATATAACTTAACATTGCAAGCTCAACTTTACTATAGCTATTACTAACTCGACAATAAATAATTGTTGTAACTTACTTGACCGCCTGCAGTATACCCTTCACGATATTATAGATACCTACCTACTATTCGTTTCGGACGTTAATATTCGTTTTCATTGTCATTCGATCGTGCGTCATTCTCGGCGAGACTTATGGAGGCACGAGGAGACGGTGACAGTAATTCCGGTGATGGGAGAAAAATCAAATTACTGTCGGCCGCCATAATTCGTGTCGGAGATTTTGCTCGCTATATCCCTCGCCGGCGATGAGGAGGGAACTTACGACTAATAGAATCGAACCGCATCGTCGTGCGTGTATCGGAGAGATACAATTCAATTTGTATCGGTCGGCAAACGATATTACCAATCTCATCAATAAATGCCGCCGACCAGTATACCTATATACCACGATTGCGGTGTTACGGGTCACCGCGATAAACGAAACGTTACTGCGGTCCGACTTTTACGTCGTGCGTGTGTGAGTGTGTAGTCGAAGAATATTAATAAATCATGACACGGCACGACACCGAACCAGTGGCTCCAAACCATAGTTCTGTTTTAGCGAAACACCCACTTATTTATATAAATGCGACAAATGGCGTACGACCACACGGAAAGACCACCCGACTTGGATCCACGACAACCAAAAATGACATTATAAATCCACGTTTTAACTATTTTTTAAGTTACGTTCTACATTTTAAATTTCACAACCCAAAGCAGAATATATCCCAGATGATTTCAATGAATAAAAATTCGAAATTCGAACCGGTAGTTAATTAGTTACAACTAATAAATTATGACTGTCGGTCATTATGACCTATATTTGGTCCTTGGTCCCTCGGACGTCATTATAGAATATTTCTACAGTGTTAGGTTGTAATAAAATATATGTTACAAAAATATTGTACACTATTAAACACGCCGCAATTTGATCATCGGTACGATAATACCAATAAAAATATTACCACGTCCGTCACATATAGAGATCGCCGAAACACCTCCTCTTTCATGAGTTAATTAAACATAATATACGAAAATATCAATAAATTAAAAACCTCTCGCGTAGGTATATACACTCACTTTAAAAGCCAAACTCATCTCGACCGACGAGACGGGTTCGGCTTGGGCTTGTGTGCAGTGCGATATTTACGACTTGCCCCGAGGGATCACGTCCCTACATATGTATACCAGGATACGCATATAACATAACGTATGTAGTAGTTAGTAGTGGTCGTGGAGGTGGTAGTAGTGGTGGTAATAGTATATAGGTAACCTATAAGGCTATAACCCAGTATGCACCTGTATGGTAATAACATGACACAGTATTTGGACAACAATAATATATTGCATTATTATACAGAGCGATTCTTTTAAAGGCAAACACACAAATTCGTTTAATCGAAGAGTATTAACGTTTTTGGAAATGTATTTTTATTTAAATGATTCAAATCAATACAATACAACAATTATAAAAAACATGTTTACCTTTTTTAATGGATTCTTCACATTTTCAATTCAAAGCAGAATATGTTTTATGTTTTTGAGAACTTTAACACAAAATTCGAAATTCAAATTATAAAATAATACGAAAAAAAGGCCTCTAACGTGTATATCATATTATAAATCTAGTTACCCGCAGTGTATCCTACTCTCAGAATTTTTGCAATATATTTTAAGGCAATTTTGTGTTATTTCAATATTTATTGTCCTATGTTTATTCCCCACTGATTACCGAAAATACAATAATGTTATGACCATCGAATTATAATTAAGCTTTTGAATCCAGCCTGCAGTAGAATTATACAAATATTAAGATCATTCCAAAAAAAGTGCCAAGTGTGTACCGCTGTGATGTACATTATTAGGTGTCGTGTTAGAGGTAACTGTAATGGATGTGTTAAAATTCAATTCAACGATATAAAATCATATACGAATAAACGATCATTAATTGTTTATGAATATCGATTCTGAGGGAAGATGGTCTGTCACCGTATATTACTAAGTATAGCTACAAATTTTATTTTATTATTATTGCTGTTAAAGTAATGTATTTTACTATTCGACGTTAAATTAATTTATGCCAATAAATTGCAATTGTAAAGGCATTCTGTATAATAATATAATGTACTATAAAAGTATCAAGTACCCACGAATTATAATAATTATTATTATTAGTTTTAAACTAAACCAAATTATCTAAAATCGTTAATTCTTTGTTCAAATATCTAATTTTGTCCAAATTTAAAATTAAAATATGTACAAAAAAAAAAATGTACAGATATATTTTTTTTCAGATTTTATTAGATTTTAGACAATATTTAGCTATAAAAAATAAGAAATTTATACATTTTTTATTACAAAATAGTTTGCAAATTTTCATGATTTCGACGAATTACTTGATCATCAATTAAACTTTAAATGCTTTTAAAAAAAAATCGTGCCCATGTATCTTTAATATTTTTGAACTGCTATTATAAACATTTATGAGAATCCTTGTATTAAATTTTCAAGCTTTTTATAATTTCATCGATATTTATAGTAAAAAAAAAATTAAAATGTCTAAAATAATAGCTCAAAAAGAGTCAATAGAAATTTTAATTTTAGCATGTATAGAAAACTGATATATATAATTTGAAGAAAATTTAAAGTATTCTACGATTATTAGGTTTTGCGTAAAAATTCCCAGTATTCCTTAATTGTTTTTCTTGTTTTGTCCCACGCTTTGACAATTGCGATCGACTACTCTTACGACCCCCCAAAGTACCATCTAAATTCACTTTCTTACCTGTAGTAGAAAATCAATGCATTTTTACTGCCCCAAAAGGCGACGACAGAGAAAAAACGCGTAATTGTAAAATCAATACATTTTCTCCACTCGGAATCTAAAATTAATTTACCTTCAGTTTCGTATGTTATTGGTACACATACATTTTTAGCTAGGACATCAGCGTCGTCTAAGACGTTAAAAAAATATGTAAATGCCATGACATCTGGTTCCAAATATTACGTATTATTGATATATATATATATTTATATTTGTTTAGATATTCTCTGAAAACTACTTTTAATAATATTCGTTGACCTTTCTGCGTGCGCAGTGCAGGTGCCGTCATCCATGTCCGTGCAGCATAGCAATAATATAATTTTAATATTAATATACTTTCCAATCGATACGGATAATAGCTGGTCGTGGTGTAGTGAACCTCTCTCTCGAGGAACTCTATCGCAATATAAAT